TGAATTGGAGCTCAGCCATGGAGTAGCGGCGGAGGTCGCCGACCTGCACCGTAGGGTTGAGGACTCGATTGCCGAACTTGAGGCCAAAGCGGCAAAAATGGAAGATCTTAAGCTGGCTGCCTTATTGAGGCCTAGGGACGCATACCGGGATGCTCACGAGATCTGGGTATATGCGGAGGCCCGACTGGATGTGCTTAAGGAATATCTTGCTGCGGTCCGCGCTACAGTGGAGGAGGTTCAAAGGCAGTGGTACGTGGCTCGTGCCGCCCGCGCTACCTCTGGGTACAGTTCTGACTCCCCTGATCAGGAGGGATATACCTCCGAGGATGTCAACCGGCTTGAGTATGGCTCTTGGTATACCGTAGCTTATCGCCTCAGGGGCGACGACGGACAGGATGGCGGAAAAACGGGGGGCGACGGCCAGGATGGGGGGCACACAGGGGGCGACGAATGAAATGGCGAAGCTCCTTAGAACTTGTATAGACTTTGCTTATTTTTTGAATGTAATAGGGATTCTTTACAAGTTCGGATGTAGATATATTTTTTGATGATAGTGAAAATCATACTTTTGCTGCTATTCCTCTCCTTTTGTCCCTTTGTTTTTTGGCACTTTGTTTCCTCCGAGCGGGTACTCGTTTACTTGTAGAAATTTTATTGTGTTTTTGAACGTTGTCTAAGTGTTATCCGCCGATAGGGTGCGGCTTTGACTGTCGTCGGAGCGCTTATTTATCGTGGTCGAGCTAGGTCGACACTAAATGGCGGTGGCCTTGGCCGATAATGATATTATTTCGACTGTCGTCGACGTGTCATTCGTCGTAGTCGAACTAAGTCGACACTTAATATGACTTCGACCGTCGTCGAGTTATTTGCTTGTCGTAGTCGAGCTAGGTCGATGTTCTATCGGCGATGGCCTTAGCCTGTAATAATGTTCGACTGGCGTCGAATTATTTATTGGTCGATGTCGAGCTTTGTCGATGCTTTATGGTGATGGCCTTAGCCTGTGATAATGTTACTTCGACTGTCGTCGAGTTATTTATTGGCCGTGGTCGAGCTTTGTCGACGCTTTATGGCGATGGCCTTAGCATGTGATAGTGTTACTTCGACTGTCATCGAGTTATTTATTGGTCGTGGTCGAGCTTTGTCGACTCTTTATGGCGATGGCCTTAGCCTATAATAATGTAACTTCGATTGTCGTCGAGTTATTTATTGGCCGTGGTCGAGCTTTGTCGGCTCTTTATGGTGATGGCCTTAGCCATTTATACAATGGAGATCGTGGCCTTAGCCGTTTATACAATGGAGATCGTGGTCTTAGCCGTTTATACAATGGAGATCGTGGCCTTAGCCGTTTATACAATGGAGATCGTGGTCTTAGCCGTTTATACAATGGAGATCGTGGCCTTAGCCGTTTATACAATGGAGATCGTTCTAGTCCAGTCCCTTTATCATATCGGCCTGGAGAGCACGTCGAGCGGCTGATATGATAAACTTGGCCACAGATACTTCCAGGTGTCCCCTCCACCGCCTCGTTAAAAACCTTCCCGAGAAAACCCAATTGGGACAAAACTCGGGTAAGGAAAAAAAGAGTACGACTCGGGAGACGCCTTTTAGAAATGGAAGTACTTGAGGTGGGCGATGTTCCAGTTGTTTTGGAGTGGTTTTCCTTCCTTTGTTTCCAACTGGAACGCTCCTTTATTTGCTGCCGCTGTGATTTTGTATGGTCCATCCCAATTGGTGCCCAGTTTTCCTTCGCTCGGATTCTTTGATGCCAATGTTTTGGCTTTGAGGACGTAGTCTCCCACTTTGAGCGACCTTATTTTGGCTTTCTTGTTGTAGTACCTTTCGACCTGTTATTTTTGGGCCGCCATTCTTATGTGGGTCATGTCCCTTCTTTCCTCGGCCTCGTCGAGGTCTTGAAGTCTATTCGTGTTGTTCTCTGCTCCGCTGGTGTGTGAATACCTCAGGCTTGGTTCTCCGACTTCGACAGGTATAACCGCGTCGGTTCCGTAGACTAGCGAGTACGGTGTTTCTCCCATGCTGGATTTGGGCGTGGTCCGGTGTGCCCATAACACTTCTGGTAGTAGCTCAGGCCATAGCCCTTTGGCTCCTTTGAGTTTCTTTTTTAGTATGTTTAGTATTGTTTTGTTGGAAGATTCTGCTTGGCCGTTGGCGGCAGGGTGATATGGTATGGAGAGTATTCGCTTAATGTGTCATTTCTCGAAGAACTCTATCGCCTTTTTGCCAATGAACTGTGGACCGTTGTCGCAGCTGATTTCCTTGGGGATGCCGAAACGGCATATGATGTTTTTCCATATGAAGGCGATGACTTCCTGTTTGCGTATCTGTATGTACGCACCTGCTTCCACCCACTTGGAAAAATAGTCAGTTAAAACTAACAGAAATCGTACCTTTCCTCGTCCCGCTGGTAAGGGGCCGATTATGTCCATCCCCCATTTGATGAAGGGCCATAGTGAGGTGACTGAGTGCAGAGGTTCTCCCGGTTGGTGTATCATGGGGGCATACTTTTGTCATTGTTCGCACCGGCGAACCTATTCCGCTGCCTCCTCTTTCATAGTGGGCCAATAATAATCGGCTCGGATGATGCAACGGACGAGGGCACGATTACCTGTATGGGCACCATAGTGACCCTCGTGTACCTCTTAGAGCACTTGCCTCGTTTGGTGTGGCCCTAGGCACTTGGCTAGGGGTCCGCCAAACGTTCTCTTGTAGAGGTCGTGATTTATTAGGCAGTACCGGGCGGCTTGTATGCGGAGCTTCTTTGCTTCTTTTTTATCAAGTGGGAGTGTCCCGTCCTGCAGATAGGATACAAATTGGTTGCACCAGTCCCAAGTCAGTTTTAAAGAGAGTACCTCAGTATGATCGATAGCTCAATGAAGGAGGGTGACCACACTTTCCCTATTGATGTTTTAGGTGGCCGTGGCCGGTTTTGCTAAGCCGTCGGCTTCGATGTTCTGTGCCCTCGGAATTCGCTCAAAGCGGCACTCGTCGAACTCAGTCATCAATTTGTGGATTTCTGATTGGTACTTTTGTAGCCTCTACTCCTTGATTTGGTAAGTCCAGTGACCTGGTTCACTACGAGTTGGGAGTCACAATGGAGAATGAGCCGCCGAGCTCCGTATTTGATGGCTAATTTCGCACCTGCAATCACAGCTTCGTATTCAGCCTCGTTGTTAGTCATCTCGAGGCATCGTATGGACTGGCGAATTGTTTCGCCCGTGGGGACTTCAAGAATGAGTCCCAGTCCCGATCCCGAGGCATTAGCTGCGCCGTCAGTGTAGAGAGTCCATAGGTCGGCATTGGAGGAGGCGCGACTGGCTTCCAGTTCTGCCTCCGATAGTATCTCTGCGCTAAAATCAGCGACGAAGTCGGCAAGTACCTGCGACTTGATGGTGGTTATTGGGTGGTATGAGATGTCGTGCTCGCTGAGCTCTATGGCCCATCTGGTGAGCCTGCCTGACAATTCAGCTTATGTAGGACGCTCTTAGGGGGAAGGTCGTCACTATTTTTAGGGGGTGGCACTGAAAATAGGGTCTGAGCTTCCGTGAAGCTACGACCAATGCCAGAGCGAATTTCTCAAGGTGTGGGTACCGTGTTTCGGCGTCCACTAGGGTTTTGGTAATATAATAAATGGGAGATTGCGTACCTTCATTTTTGCGGACCAAGACCGCGTTGACAGCGACTTCAGATACCGCCAAATATACCAGCAAAGGCTTGCCTGGGTTTGCTTTGACCAGAAGCGGTGGCGAAGATAGATATGCTTTCAATTTTCTCAAGGCTTCGATGCATTCCCCGTTCCACTGTAACCCGTCATCTTTCCACAGTACATTGAAAAACTTGTGGCACCTGTCGGAGGACCACGAGATGAACCTAGATAGGGCGGCTATTCGCCCAGTTAGCTTTTGCACCTGTTTTTTGCTGTTCAAAATCTCAGGTATTGCGTCTATCGCTTTGATCTGGTCCGCGTTGACCTCGATACCTTGTTGTAATACGAGGAAACCCAAGAACTTCCCTGAGGTCACACCGAAGGCACATTTTTCTGGGTTCAGCTTCATCCCATACCGTCTCAGTATTTCGAAAGCTTCCTTCATATGACCGATGTGGTCTTATTTCATTGCCGACTTTACCAACATTTCATCGATATAGACCTCCATGGTCTTACCAAGCTGTTCCTTGAACATTTTGGTGACTAGTCTTTGATACGATGCCCCTGCATTTTTTAGTCCGAAGGGCATCACCTTGTAGCAATACATCCCTTGGTGGGTGATGAAAGTTGTCTTTTCTTGGTCCTCCTCGGCCATCATGATTTGATTGTAATCGGAGTAGGCATCCAAGAAGCTCAGTAGTTCATGTCTTGCGGTGGCGTCGATCAGTTGGTCGATATGGGGTAGTGGGAATGAATCCTTTGGGCATGCCTTGTTTAGGTTGCTGAAATCTATGCACATTCTCCATTTCCCGTTTTTCTTTTTGACCATGATGACATTGGCGACCCACTGGGGGTACTTTGATTCTCTGATGGAGCCGTTAGCCAATAACTTGTCCACTTCTTCACTGACTGCCTCATTAATTGCGGCGTTGAATTTTCTCCTAACTTGCCGCACGGGCGGGTATAAGGGTCGACGTTCAACTTATGAGTGGCGATGTCTTTCGGAATTCCTGGCATATCTGAATGGGAAAAAGCAAATAAATCTGCATGATTAGTTAAGAATTAATGGTACTTACATGGATCGTCGAGGCCATGCCCGATGTAGGCCTTTTTTGCGTAGTCGGTGCCGTCCAATTGGACCGGGTCGAGATCCTCGACTGTCGCTTTACAGGCTTCTACGACATCGGGGTCTTTGATGGCTTCTATCATCGGGTTGACCTTAGTCCCCGACATGGCTGATTGTTATGCCTCTGCACTTGCTCCCTTCAGTTGTTTGGTGTATGCGTAGTCTCGAGTTATTCGGTAGTATTCTTGTGCGGTGCGAGGCTCGCCCCGAATGCTAAATACTCCCTAGGGGGTGGGGAATTTGATCACTTGGTAAAAACTCGAGGGGACTGCTTGCATGGAATGTATCCAAGGGCGTCCTATGATGGCGTTGTAAGCTGTTTCTTGGTTCATCACGTGAAAGGTGGTCTCTAACGTGACTCCTCCCGCAAAAATCGGCAATTTCTCCAGAGGTTTGTTCCACTGCATTATTAAAACCTATCAGTGTTATGCAACACGGTATTATCTTATCTTCGAGTCTCATTTGCACGAGAACCCTTGGATGGATAATACAGGTGCCGCTTCTGTCGTCGACCATGATCCTTTTAACGTCAGTATCGACAATACGAAAAGTTATAACAAGAGCGTCATAATGAGGAAAAGACAAACCGTCGGCATCGGACCTATCGAAGGTGATACTATCTTCGAGGTCGTTATATCGTTCATGCGCGATTGTTCGCTTCAGTTTATGCGTGGTGGTGAACTTGACGTGATTGATTGCTGAGTCATCGCCACCTCTGACGATCATGTTTATGGTGCATGCTGGGGAAGTTGGCTTCGGCGACCCCTGGGGTTGTTCCCGGCCACGTGCGAAGTCGACTTTCCCTTTTTCACTGAGTAGTTCCCTTAGGTATCCTTGATTCAGCATCCTGACCACCTCTTGCCGTAGGCCTATGCAGTCCTCGGCTTTATGTCCTCGTTCCTGATGGAATTCACACAGGACATTTAACCTCCTTGTGGTAGGGTCTGATTTTATCTTCTACGGCCATTGCACCTTGGTTCCCAGCTTCTCCAATGCGTACACTATTTCTGAAGGAGACACACAAAAGTTATGGGCAGATAATAAAGGGGGCATACCTCTTTCGTTTCGGAGTGGAGCGACATGTCACTGCAGTGCATCCGTGTGTCTTGGAGGTGGAGGATGGGAAGATCTGACATAAGGTCGGTGCCTTTCTTTGTTGAAATGTGGGAGTTGCTCTCGCCGCCCCTCGTTGCGTCGATCCCTCCTTGCTTCCGAGTGTATCGTTGTTAGTTGTTGGGTCGGCCCATTAAGGTCGTCCTCGCCCGCTCGCACCTCAGCACAGTAGGCATTGTGGATCTCCTCCCATGTTGTAGGGGATATTTCATGAGGCGGTTTAGTAGCTTTTTGGTCGCTCTTGAACCATCTCTGTTCAACCCGTTTTGTAAAGCTGCGACTGCCATACCTTCCGATACATTCGGCAGGCTCATCCTTACTATGTTGAACCTTGCTAGGAAAGGAGTCCTTCTCCTGCGGTTTGCCTGACGGCGAAAATATCCTTAACTCTGGCTTCTGCTTTCTTTGCTCCTGCATGGCGGTGATGAACTTATCCGCCATTTCCTCGAACGTTGATATCGTTCTAGCTGGTAGCTGAGAGTACCATGTTAGATCCCCTCCTCAACGTCTCGCCAAACTTCTTTAGCAACACGGATGGTACTTATTCTTTCGATAGATCGTTGCCCTTCACAACAGTTACATAATGGATCAGATGATCCTCGGGATCTGTGGTCCCGTCATATATCCTTAAGTAAGGTGGCATCTTGAAGGTTTTCGGGATGGGGTGAGGGGATGCTTCTTAGGTGTATGGTTATTCGACGAACCTTCCCACATCGCGCTTTGGCAGAAACTTGGGAGCACCGGGGATTTTGTCCACTCTTTCCTGATATTCCTTTATTTGGTCACGAAGTGCCCTGTTCTCATTCTCCATTTTTTCCATCTTCTTGAGAACGACTGCAAATGTACTTTCGCTGGTGGTGGCTTCGATGTGGGCGTTATTTGTTCATGCAACAGCAGGTTCATCAGTGGTTGTGGCGATATCCATCGCCGATGAGTTTCTCATGTTACTTTGGGGTGGCTTTTCGAGCAAGCTACCTAGGGTGTTTTTCAACCACTCCTCTAGTAGCCTCTTGACCACCGGGGGTGGCGTTTATTTGACCGCAGAGGTTGATGCCCCTTTTTCGTGCAAGATTGTCAGGTCCTCAGATGGAGAGGGTGAAATCTCCCCACCCGGTGTAATGCTAGGGGTTGTGTTCAAAATACCCTCCTCACCGGCTTCGTTGAGAGGGCCCATGAGGTTGGTTGCGATGCCTGTTATTGCTTTCATTCTTGCGTTATTTTTTTGCCATCTTTTGCTTCTGTGTGGTGTAGGGGATGGTGGTTGGTTGTTCTCTAGGTGCAAAACTATAATTTTGATTCTCGAAATCCCCACAGACGGCGCCAAATTGTTTGGCTCAAAAGTTATCAAGGTACTTTGCAAGCATAAAACAATCAAAATAAATGAGGGTAAATCGTAATCAAATATAATAAAACCTAGAGATGAAAATATTATTGTTCAAGTAGATCTGATGATATTGGGAGAGTATCTTTTTAGAGATAGAGAGAGAAAGAGAGAGTTGTATTAGCCGAGAATAATGATCATTCCTTTACAACATTAAAGTCTTCTTTATATAGTAGGAGAACCTCCTCGAAATAATAAAAATAGTATAAGAGTAAGTAATATCCCCTTAGTGGGGACGCCGAATTTGAATGGCGTCGTTCCTATCCTCACGCCTAACTCGTCATGCATCCGCTGGCCGTACCCACTAACGCGGAGACGTCGAGGGTCGAATTCGACCCCATACAATCATTAACTACTGATGTTCCATGATACAAGAGTTATTATGATAAACTATAGTATTCTCTATTTATTATTTCCGAAGAGAAATACAAAGTTCATACTGACCAAGTAAAAGGGAACATAAGCAATAGTATTAGTTAGGAGTTTTGTTCCTTGTTAAAATTATTGATCTTTCTAGTAATGATTCTCCTCAGTATAAAATTGCTCAAGGAGTGCGGATAAAGTCTACTATTTTTCTTGATATACATATATTCCACTCATTACGCCAAACACTCAATAATCTAAACATATATTTCAACATCAATGAGAGCTTGTTTTACCCTCAAAACAGCTCGATTGTTGTTTTGTCCTCCTGCCCCTGACACAAGAAACATTTGTTGGACACGTCCGTTTGGACATAAGAATTTTTTTTTTTTTTTTTGAAAAATTTATTTTTTTCGAAATCAGTGTTTGGCCATAAAATTTTCAATTTGCAAATTTTGCACTTGAAAATGAATTTTGGATTTTTTCGAAAATGTGAAAAACTCAAAAAATATATTTTTTAAAATTTTCACTCAAATCACTCACAAAAATCAAAAAACAACTTAAAATTATATTCGTCTAAGCCACTTGAAATGGATATATGAAGCCAATTAATATATGAAGCCAATTAACATCTAAGCCACTTGAAGTGGATATTCCAGTTTTGAACAGGTATGTGTAAGTGCACGTACAAGTCACCATAAGAAATCCACTCAAAAGAGAAAAATATGTTGAAAAGCTCATTGTATTGGCAATAACTGACATCCCCAAGCAAGCACAAGTCAGTTGATCAATCAATTTAGCAACTTGATTATATATGACTTAGGAGGCAGTGTTGTCAAAGGCACACTTAAGCCCTAAAGCGAGGCTCAAAACATATTGAGCGTTTCGCCTCGCTTTGTGGGTCCTTTAGTGTCGCGTTAAAGTTCTAAGACATACTTTTCCTTGCCAATGAGTGTAATCCTGAAGAGGCGACATTAAACAATTGATATTTTACTTTATCATTAAAAAAATTCAATTTATTTGTCTATATATTCATTATTCATGTTTATAATTATTAATCTTGGACTACATATACATATTTTTTTTTCTCTAATTGCATCTTTTTTCATTAAAGCCCACATTTTATTTGCGCTTTGTGCCTACGGCCCCAACGGATATTAGAGCTTTTCTGCGCTTTTGATAACATCGTTAGGAGGAACTATTAGGCTTTGAGTTGTCCCAGTACACACTATTTTCAAGATAAATCATTTAACTTCGTATTCGAGGAATCTTACATCAAGCTCCAGTATACAAAGATGTTTAAGTTTCTGATAATGTCTTATCTCAAAAAATAAAAAGATCACATTAAATAATTTTCCTTTACTCTCTCATGATATTTCATCCAAGAGAAATATATTAGTTAAATGTCAGACCATGATTTTTATAACAACCTTGACCTTTTATTTTAAGTTGAAACCAAGCTTCTTATATCATGATTCCTTAAAATAATAATAACCTTTTACGTTTTTATTTCCTAAGTTTACCTTCTGAAAAAAAATTTGGTAGTTTAATTTCCAAAAAGGATACATAGTTAACACAGAGGAACAAAGAAACTATGTAAGAAAAGTATGCCCAAAGGCAAACAGCAAAGAAGCTCGAATAAAAAAAATTAAGAGCAATACTTGTGTATGGGTCAAAACTTGACTCATGATAATTAACGGGATTAGTCCACTCTTAAGCCTATTCGGGCTGACAAATGGTACAACCATTTGTTAATACTGGTATTAGAAGATTACTCGATTTGACCAGTGAGGCCATAGCCTACCCACTACTGCAGGGGCGTCCCCTCGATATGGTCACGGCCACCCAGCGCCAGCTGGCAGAGTTCATTGCTATAAATACTAAGAGAAAGAACCCTAAAAGGGGGCTGCTTCTTTTTCTTCTTCACTACTTCTTAGAATAAGAAAACATCATTGTAAGGCTCTGAACTTCTCCAAGGAGAGGCAGACCAAATCGATATCAATCAATAAAAAGCTCTCCACCTATTTCCTCTTATCATAGAAGCTCATTTCTTATTCCTTCTATTCGGTCTTTTGGTTTATTACGATCTGCTGTGATTGACCCTTGATTTATTTTGATTGTTTTATGCTTGCAAAGTGTATGATAACTTTGAGCTAAACAATTTGGCGCCGTCTGTGGGGATTTCATAGCAGAATCGCGTAGTTCATCCTTGGACCGAAAATGAAAGAAAACACCCAAAGGGAAAAGCAACCCAGCTCGAACGAGCCAAAGCAGCATAGCGGGCGAAGGGAACTCACAAGCTTCGACAAGAACCTGAATCCCTCACTTCCCTATTCTCAAGAAAGTGCAAGAAGAAGAAGAAGCAGATCCCCTCCCTACGTGGGGAACACGTACAAGGTACCCTCATCTCCCTGATATGGGATCCTGCCAAAAAATGGCACAAAGGCATCTCAAACCAAGATCCATAATGAGATAACCTATACAAACTAGTCGAGAGGGCTATACACAAATCGGGCAAGATCTCAAACAAAAACCCAACCCCCAACACCCTGCACACAATGGGTTATGTGGGAAGAAAAAGTTCAACTACAAGTTGAGCCAAGACTCAGGCCATGTACCTTCGCCATCAAAAATTGCAAAGATTCAACTACGGTTGAATAACAACTCAGGCTATGTGCCCTCACCCAAAAAGTTCAACTATGAGGTGAACTGGGACTCAGGCTATGCGCCTTCGCCATCAAAAATTGCAAAGATTCAACTACGGTTGAATAACAACTCAGGCTATGTGCCCTCACCCAAAAAGTTCAACTATGAGGTGAACTGGGACTCAGGCTATGCGCCTTCGCCATCAAAAATTGCAAAGATTCAACTACGGTTGAACAACAACTCAGGCTATGTGCCTTCACCCAAAAAGTTCAATTATGAGTTGAACTAGGACTCAGGCTATGCGCCTTCGCCATCAAAAATTGCAACGATTCAACTACGGTTGAACAACAACTCAGGCTATGTGCCCTCACCCAAAAAGTTCAGCTATGAGTTGAACTGGGACTCAGGCTATGCGCCTTCTCCATCAAAAATTGCAAAGATTCAACTACGGTTGAACAACAACTCAGGCTATGTGCTTTCGCCCAAAAAGTTCAACTATGAGTTGAACTGGGACTCAGGCTATGCGCCTTCGCCATCAAAAATTGCAAAGATTCAACTACGGTTGAACAACAACTCAGGCTATGTGCTTTCGCCCAAAAAGTTCAACTATGAGTTGAACTGGGACTCAGGCTATGCGCCTTCGCCATCAAAAATTGCAAAGATTCAACTACGGTTGAACAACAACTCACGCTATGTGTCCTCGCCCAAAAAGGTCAACTATGAGTTGAACTGGGACTCAGGCCATGCGCCTTTACCATCAAAAATTGCAAAGATTCCACTACGGTTGAACAACAACTCAGGCTATGTGCCCTCGCCCAAAAAGTTCAACTATAAGTTGAACTGGGACTCAGGCTATGCGCCTTCGCCATCAAAAATTGCAAAGATTCAACTACGGTTGAACAACAACTCAGGCTATGTGCCCTCGCCCAAAAAGTTCAACTATGAGTTGAACTGGGACTCAGGCTATGCGCCTTCGCCATCAAAAATTGCAAAGATTCAACTACGTTTGAACAACGACTTAGGCTATGTGCCCTCGCCCAAAAAGTTCAAC